AGAGAGAGAGAGAGAGAGAGAGAGAGAGAGAGAGAGAGAGAGAGAGAGAGTTTTCAGTTATGTGAGATTGCCCGGATAAATGGCCCTGAGAATCTTATGAGCTAATAATGAAAAAGCCCCAGTTCTAGCTACTTTCCAAAACTCTGGTGGGCTGGGCTGCGTTCTCACTGAGCACAACGGTGGGTGGATGGGTTTAAGAGATGCCCACTACATAAAGGTGGCCAGTGGGATGGTGGGGCAGTCTGGGAGTGCTGGCCTCAGTCCCAAATAAATTCCCTGCATTGCTCATCAGAACAGGCACCATGGACGAAGAGTACGAAGACCCTGGGTTTTTCAGCACTGCCAATGACAGCCGACAGGAGCACCATCAATTCCTGGCGTTCAAGAGGCTCTTCCTGCCCTCCATATACGTGGTGGTCTTCATCTGTGGCCTGCTGGGGAACTCCCTGGTGCTGGCGGTCTACATCTTCTACCAGAAGCTGAAGAGCGTCACAGACCTGTTCCTGATGAGCCTGCCCCTGGCTGACCTGGTCTTTGTCTGCACTCTGCCCTTCTGGACCTACGCAAGCATCCACGAGTGGGTCTTTGGCAAGTACACGTGTAAAATCCTGCTAGGGGTCTACACGCTCAACTTCTACACGTCCATGCTCACCCTCACCTGCATCACCATGGACCGCTTCATTGCGGTGGTGCAGGCCACCAAGGCTCACAACCAGCAGGCCAAGCGGATGTTCTGGGGCAAGGTCATCTGCTGGGCCATCTGGGTGACCTCCCTGTTGGTGTCCCTGCCGCAGATCATCTATGGCAACGTCTCTTCTCTCGACAAGGCCGTCTGTAGTTACCATGACAACGAGATCCCCACTGCGGTCCTGGCCACCCAGCTGACCCTGGGCTTCTTCCTGCCCCTGCTCGCCATGGTTGTCTGCTACTCAATCATCATCAAGACGCTGCTTCATGCGCGTGGCTTCCAGAAGCACAAGTCCCTGAAGATCATCTTCCTGGTGGTGGGCGTGTTCCTGCTGACGCAGGTGCCCTTCAACCTGGTGAAGCTCGTCCGCAGCACGCACTGGGAGTACCACGCCATGACCAGCTTCCAGTACGCCGTCATCGTGACCGAGGCCCTCGCCTACCTGCGGGCCTGCCTGAACCCTGTGCTCTACGCCTTTGTCGGCCTCAAGTTCCGGAAGAATTTCTGGAAGCTCGTGAAAGACGTCGGCTGCCTCCCTTACCTGGGTTTCTCAAGCCAGTGGAAGTCTGAGGAGACCTCCAAGATGAGTTCTGCCTCTCACAACGTGGAGGCCACCAGCATGTTCCAACTGTAGGCCGTGCCAGGGCACGCAGAAGTGGCTCCGGAATGCACTGTGGGAGGTGGTCCTCTGGGAGAGCTGGGGCAGGCTTTGCGGATAGCTGTGCATTTCCAGGCGAAGCAGCCACTCGCTTGCTCTCCTCTCTGCTCCGCACGGACACCCAGGCCTGCTGCTTTGAAGGACTCTCCTTCCTTCCACTAGCCCCACGAATGCTGGCAGCAAGGGCAAGGACACGTGGCTTCTAAGATCCCAACTTCTCCTCCACTAGGACTGCAGCACACAGCCAGCAGGGCGACCAATGGTGGGTGACAGTCTGTGCCCCTAGGCTCCACCGATCCCCCCTCCCAGCGAGGGAGCTCAGAGCAGCCATGAAGAGAGGTGTGGCTCTAGGCAGCTCCAGCCTCAGGTCTTGCCTCCTTGAGGTAGGTCTGACCTTTACATAGGGAGAGCCTCAAGCTGTCTACCTGCGGAAGGACTAGCAGTGGGGGACGGTTGTGGCCCAAACGAGTCCCTGAAATGATGCACAGGCTACAAGGTCCAAGAGTCTGTGTGCTTTCTGACAGGGACTCTGGTTTGCTCATTTAAAAACGGAATGACCCCATGCTTGCCCCCTCCCCACCCACAACACACACACACAGACACACACACACAATTACACATATCCATGTAACAGCGTGTGGTTTTCATGACTAAGAAATAAAGCCCTTGTATGGTCTCCAAACGGCTTTTATACCTAGGAGCATTCATTCTATTTTGTGATGCAGGGAACACCCCGAAACTCGCTCCCTGTGAGCCCAGCACGCAGGGCCCGAGCTGGGCTGGTCAGTGTTTGGGGTCCTGCTAGCCAGGAAAGAGATGGGCCACCGCGTCAGTGATGACAACCCGGCTCCCTCACCATGGCTGCCCGCCTCCGGCCCGCACTGCAGTGCCTGTGCTTATGACCTAGAATGTGGTCACAGGAGGTGGTGGTCTTAAATGTCAGACTTTTACACGTGCTTGCCAGATACTGGCAGTGTTTGGGGGGCTCCTGCACCTCAAACTCACTCACAGAAAGAGGGAGACTCTCCTGACAGCAGCTCAACAGGGAGGGGGGCTCCGTGATGTAGAGCGGCTTAGTGCTGAGCTTTGGGGGCTCAGGCGAACCGGAGTGGAATCCAGTCGGTAAGGCCCTGGGCGAATCTTCTCGCCTCTGTTCCTCGTTGGCGGAACCCACCTCTCAGGGCGGCCATCTGATAACCTGGGATGATACCCACAGGTGTCTGCGTCGCTTGTGGCAGAGCGTGCCTGTGATCGGTCCTGTTCTCACTTATAAAAGGGAGTGACGGAGAGGATGGCCCCTATCTTGCTCCCTGTGGGCCACTGGGCAAGGGAAGGCTGGCTCAGGCTCCAGTGACATGCGCCCTGGTCCAGCGGAGCAGAGGGGGCCTCGCAGGGCTCACCAACCCTACCCACCATGCCACCACCACACAAAGCAAACGGAACCACTGCCATCAAGTCAACTCTGACCCCTGGCGACCGACAACAGGGCAGAGCAGAACCGCCCCCGGGGGTTCTGAGGCTATAAATCTCTGGGGGAGCAGATAGCCTGCGAAGCATGTGGTGAGTAGCCCAGCACCTAACTCAATGTGCCACCAGGGCTCTGTCCCTCCGTCCGCAGGGTCCACCAAGATAAGATCTTCATCGACCAATGAAGCGGGCCCTTCTCTGGGGGCCGAGGGACACCAGGACTTTGCCAGCCAGACACTTGATCTCTGTGGGTCCCTGGGCAGGTTACTCAGCCCCATTTCACTGTCTGCATAATAGCCCCCCATGTGTATGAAAACAGTGACACTGTGAGCTAAGCTTGGGTCTGCTGCGATGGCGGCACCTCCAGGTTTCCTGTCATTAGGTCCCTGCCAGATGAGGGATTCTGGAGATCATCTCTGCTGGGCCTGCCCCACCAGGCCGACATCTGCGGCCCTATAGGTGCACATGCAACACCCCCCCCCCCTGCGTTTCTGACCCCCTCCACCCTCGCCTGTCCCTTACTGTCCCTCTCTCCCTGGAACCCAGCTATGCTTGAGAACAGTTGGTATTCTCCCGAGCTGCCCCCCAACAGGCACAGGCACTGTCTGCACAATCTCCACCCCGACACTGGAGCCAACTCTCACCCTCAGACCGTTGTTCTCTCCCGACTGGCCCTCAGTTCACACACACAGGGAGGGACAAGACTGGTCTGGGATGTGGGCAGCATTCTGAGAGGCCAGGTGGGCTGTGGGTACAGTCCCTGCTGCTCTACCAAGCTCCCAAGAGCTAGAGCCACAGGCAGCTCAACAGGGTTCTCGGTGGATAGAGGGCAAGGCCACAGGTGAGAAAAGCCTGGAGCTGCCCCCTGTGGACAGGGAGAAGGTGGCTCAGAGAGCATGGGCATCGGGGGGCGGGGCCTCCCAGGTACGCATCTGTCCTTCCTGACACACAGTCTGTTTGGAATGCAGGAGAGCCTCACTGCCCATCCTACTGATGAGACTAGTTCAGGGAGCTCGATGGATACCTGCCTGAGCTCACAGCAGAGATGGGGGCCCTGCAGCCCTGGGGAGCAATCGGCTCCACCCCCAATGTCGGCCACAGAGAGGTTCCAAGCAGCCAACCCACTGCCAGGTGCCTGCCAACCAAACCATTCTCACCATATCCTGTCCTAGTTTTGTCTCTCACACAGGGCGTCAATCTCCTGGCCGCTAACAAGAAAACCACAGCCATCCCCTCCCCCACCCCCGCTCGCTTGTTCCGCAGAACACAGGCCCTGAGGCAATGGCTGGCAACCTGTGGGTTGAGACCCCTTTGGGTCTGAACGACCTTTTCATAAGGGTTGTCTACGACCATTGGAAAACATATTTCTGATGGTCTTAGGAAATGAGACACCGCCCCTCTATCGGTCTCCAGGGGGGTCTGACCGCATGCAGATGCACCCACCTGCGAGTACCTGGCATGAAGACTGTTAGCCATGCTACACCATGCTTCAAGACAAAATTTCATTGATTTATCATTAGAAATAAATATTTTACAATACATAATTATGTATTGCTTTTGTGATGAACCACTATGCTTTCATTATATTCAATTTGTAACAATGAAACTACATCCTGCATATCAGATATTTACATTACGATTCATTTATAACAGCAGCAAAATGACAGTGATGAAATAGCAATGAAAATAACTTTATGGTTGGGGGAGGGGTCACCACCACATGAGGAACTGTATGAAAGGGTTGTGGCATTAGGAAGGTTGAGAACCACTGCTCTGGGGCAAGTTTAAGGTCACCCAGCCACCTGGAAGTGACAGTTTGTTTTCCTGGAGAAGACTACTGGGGTACCAGCTGCTAAGACGGGGCGAGTGGAACATGACGTGCCTTCTAAGTTTATGGAATGAGGAGATCATGGAACATGCTTTCAGACTTGTAATGGCCCCATTGTAGCTGTGGGGCTGGGGTTAAGTCTGCGTGCAGGCAAAGACGCCAAGGAAGGGTTCCTCAGTGCAGCCCCGGCCCACAGCAGGCACCCCATCTCCTAACAATGGAGGGAGTGGGTGCACTGGGGAGCACACTGAGCCAGGGAGGCTGGTGCAGTGCAGGTGGAAGGCCCGGGCTCTCCCCAGGCAACCAGGTGGGGAGGGCAGGCCTGGAGGAGGCCATGACTGGATGGAAGCTGGGCAAAGGCCAAGGGCGCCAAAGCCGGGAGTGCCCGGCCCACGCACTGCTAACCAGCGGAGCTTGGCTGGCAGAGTGGGCGTAGGCAGCGTGTTTGCACGTTTGAGGCATGCTGTTGTTTACCAGAGAGGCTGGGCCGTGTTCTGGCTTACCACCACCACCTGGCGCCGAGCCCTGTCTTGGACTCACTGATTGTCAATGAGTGTCTCCAATTCTTACCAGAATCATTACAAGGTATGCCACCCTCATGTAGGCTCTCAAAATGGGTGATTTTAAAGAAAAATTGTTCATTTTCATATGTATTGAAGGATATTGTCTGTTTCTTCTTGAAACCCCCCATCATGGGAAAATTACCAAATTGAATCTAGTTCAACCCATAGTTATGAACCATGCTCCCCCTTAGAGAACCCACAGCATCCTGACTGGTCTCTCTTTGAGGCTGGACTTTGGGCTCCTTCTGGTCCCAACACTTCCTGGAGGGCAAAGGAAGCAGCGTCCTAGCTTGAAGGGGAGGGGGTGGTGGTCTATGAAGTGGGGATAGCCACGGGGGAAGAGGAGGGCAGAGAGGTCTCTGATGGCCACACGGGGAAGCGGGGGCCTGGGGAAGACATTTACCCGCTTCAGAATCTAAAGCCTGAGGCCTTGAAGGGAGCCAAGCAGGGTCCAAAGCCAAGCCTGACACATGACCTTGAACCATTGACCTGGCATCCCTCGACTTCCTGTCTGCAGATCGAGGACAACACCTCCTCTCCTTGACACCTCGAGAGGCCAGTGCTTACAGTGGCTTTCTTTCAGAAACACTACTTCCAAGCTTCCCACTCGGCAGCACGTGGCCTCCAGCAGCCTTGGATCTGCCTTCTGCCCCCCTCAGAACCCTGACAAACCTAGGGCTCTGAATCTCTGACTCCTTCTCTAAGAGTCGTGGCCTTTAGGATGGGGGCTCACATGTAAGCCAGAGCCA